TACTAAAAGCACCATGCTTCGACTTTCGCTACAATCCAAGGAAGTTTTGCTTCGGAATAGGAAACTTTGGCTTTGAGGTTTCATGAGTCCGGACAGCCAGACAGTCTGAGAGTTCTCGAGTCCACTTACAAGTCAACCAGTGGCCGCACTTGCTCACATTTAGCAATGGAGAACCAAAAGAAAACATGTCTCCTGCGCCCTAACGAGATAGTCATTCTTGGGCACGCGGTTATGTCTCGCACTGACATTTACAGACCGGACCGGACAATCCGAGCAGGGAAGAGACAATAACAAGAAATAAACAACGATGACGCAGCTGGCATTCAAGCAAATTCTGTCGAATAATGATACCATCTCCGTCAGAGGCAGCATACCAATAAAGGGCCTAGCAATCCTCGAGAAACTATCCACGTCAGCCTCTCCGGCTCAGATGGACCAACTCACTTCCAAATCGAGGCCTGACATGGTTTTTCAAATTCAGTGCATTTCAGTACATTTTTGGCGGCGAAGCAAATCATTGTGGCATCAATCGTTGGACGAGATCGACGTTTGCGCTACCGCAAACGGAGGACGTTCACCCGCCCATGATCTGACGCTGCAGCGCACTGGCAGTGCTTGTGTCATTTTCGTCACAATTCACTCGGCTGCCACTGCTCGTCCCTCCCCAAGACTTCCCCAAGGACTGCGAATGTTGAGGTTCAGCTGCCCCCGAACCCGAGGGCTTTCTTTCTGCATTTGGTCGAGTCGTCCCTCCCTTGGAAGTATGATTCGAGCTCGACGATCAATGGCGAGTCATAGTATGGGCACTCTCAGCCATGCCAGCAGCACGCATCTTCACTCGAGACCCACGATGAGGAGCTTCAGGTTCGATAGTATTAGTGATCTTCGGCTATCTTGACTGGGCCGGCCGCAATGCGTTTCTCGAGGAGCACCTCGCTAGTGTCGACGACCCTCGTCCGGTAGGTACGTATACAGGAAGTATCGAAAAACCCAACGTCTGCCATGCACCTCGCCATTCTGAGGGCGTCGATACCTAGCTCTACGTGCTCTGCACTCACGCTACCAGCTCATCGAGTTCCTCTTGGGTCTTGGCCGAGTTTCGGTTGTTGAGCGGCATCGCATTCCCATATTGCCTTGCTTGGTTTACCTCGCATCTCCGTCAGTCAACTCTTGCTGCAACAACGGTTGATCGCGCGACAGCTGGAAGAATACGTCGCTGTTGGCTCATAACCTCCGGCTCCTTTCACTACTGCAATATCACTGACTTTCTCAGCTCACGTTCGCTGGCTCGGGTTCCGCACTGACTTGACTAAATAGGGTCATCATTGAATGCATCTGGCAAACCTGATACCGACCTACATCGTCTGGGAGAAGCAACGTTCCTAGTCAAACAACAGTTGACACTCCATGAATCAGACGCAGTGCTCACCTGTTCGTCTGCAGAGCCATCAGGTTGACGGGACTCGTTTCCAAAGGCTAAACCTGGCGTTTCTAGTCGTCAAACAAAGTCTGAGCGACTCTCAACGGCTTCTTGTTCACGCCCGATGCAGAGTCACCTCAGCTGGCCTTTGCCCCCCCCCCCCCCCCCCCCCCCGGAACCGGAGCCCGAGTGCAAAGACGCAGGAGGCCATGTTGTGAGTGAGGGCCGGCCCGCGGTCTGGTATGATCGAAGCCGACATAAGAATACCACTCTTGCGAGTCACCTGCCAATTGGAGTGGACAAAAGTGTCAGATCGGCATATCTACGCTTTTGTCGCATCCGACTTCAATGATCGATCGCCAGGCCCATAGCTCCGGCTGGAGAACTATTTCAGACATGGCTCGATTTCTGGTCTCTCACATTCCTCGAAGTCACTCCAAATGACCTACGGCGACAGCTACACATGGTCCCATATTGTCAACAAAGACGTTTCCTAGCCGAACGCTGCCAGGCTATCTAGGCCAACAAACGTGTGTGAAACTGGAAAATTCGGGCTTTTGTCCGCCACATGTACGGAACAGCTGCTGTGACCAGGCACGGTCGTACTGCGAAAGTTCAGATGACGAGCTCATGTACCGATACATGATACATTTCTCTCCATCTAAGCTTCAAGCTTTCACCCCATACAACATACTATGCCTAACCGATTCTCAGACGGCACCTGCACGGTGGCCCGGCCTCCTCAGAGTTGGTTTGAATGACGGCCAGGACTCCTTTCCCATCGAGTATCCTCGCAGGCCCCATCCTGCTGGCAATATTCGAGCCCTGGGTCCCACAGCAAACTATCGATTGAGAGGGCGAGAAAATCACAGGTTCATTGCTCGTGAAGGCGCCGTACACGCCGTACACGCGGTCAACGGCTTTTAGCTCTTGCGGCTATCGGACGATGTCTCACGCACTGTTGAAAACAGCAACGATGGACAAACGGTCAAAACATGGCGTGATGCTTAACTCTGACTTTCACGCGAACCAGGCGTGCGGACCTCATTGGATTCATTTGGGAACGCAACCCTATCCTATCCTATCCTATTCTTTCTTGGGTTCAATCCGATCAAGTATTCGTTGAAGATAGCAACCACCAGAGGGGCTGTTTAGCATTGCGAATGGGCTGTGACTTGTGGTTGTCCAGGCCTGATGATCTACACCAGGAAGGTTTGTACCCTTGCCAGCACAGAGCAGCGAATGATCCGGACGCCCCATTGATGGGGAGTTTTGACGGTCGCCGCCACTACGGATACGCAGTATTACTATCAGGTGCTGCGTCGGCGGCTGGCAATGACGAAACAGGGGCAGCCAGGACAGCGAAACAAGTCTATTCCGGCCTTCGACTCATGCTCTCCGAAGGAGCTTCTTCTTGCTGATTCGTCGTAGGTTCAGCGACCGGGAAATAGAGCTGTCTCAAATAGCTGCATGCTGCCCTCGTAAGCAACGAATCATATCATGGGCAGAAAGAAGCAGGTGATGGAGCCAAGAGCTTTCATCCCCGCAAAGCATCTTCCGAAGCAAGCAGTCTGGCAGTCTACGAGATCCAGATCCTTACGAGCTGGGAAGAAGTATGGACAGATACGAGGACACTTTTAGTTGATCGAGCGTCGACCTGTCTGTATCTACACTGATGGGTCCGCCAAGGTCTTTTTTCCAGGTTGTCGTTGAGCTTTGTCTCTTTCAGTCAGGTGCGCGTAGGAGATCTACTTGTCGTAGATCGAAGCTATCACTTGGACTCGAGGGGTACACCCAAGCGAGGTCTTCCCTTTTTCGCCTTGCTTGACACGAGACGGTCTTTACGCTTTGATCGAGAGATCCTTTTTTTTCTTTTCTTTTTTTTCCCCCCGATCTGTCAACGGCACCGTCTGGGTCGGCTTGGCCCTAGTAAGGAAGAATGGGACAAGGCAGCAGAATGATAGATCGTTCTGCCCAAGGAAACGATGGACGGTGCAACAGGGTGTCGCTCTCTCGACTGTCGGTTTTGGGGAAGGCGTGTGTGTGTACATCTCAATATGCACTGGACCGCCACAGCTCACATATTGGAGAGGTGTCTGAGACATTGCAAAGCTGTGCAACGAAAACCTGTTTGCAGCGGTTGCTCTTTTGCCTCGTGGCGTGGTGCGTCGCCGGCTGCCCGCATCAAACAGTCTAGATTTCGCGTCCCAGCTGGCGCCCTTCCCGCCCTCCCCGCCCTCCTTTGGCCGGCACACGAGGGAGGGTTTCGTGGAGGGTCGTTCCCACCCACACCATCGGTATCCAGACAAATGTTTCCCGAGAGGTTCACTTGATGGGTGATCATGGGTACCGGCATGGTTTCGGGGAGTGGATATCGGGTACGGGAGCCAATCTCAAGGGGCCGGTCGCGGCCCAGAGGGCGATATTCGCCTGCCACGGTGCCACGACAATGGGGGTTCAAACGAGTCCAGATAGCACAAGGACCCTGACGGATCCTTTCATTTGCTCTGTAGCGGCATTTGTGCGACCATGCACGATCGAGAGGCACGCGAGGGCGGGAGATTGGCGATCAGTAAACCAGTAATCCCCCCCCCTCAAAAAAAGACGAAAGACCCAAGAGAAAGAAGAAGAAGAAAGCGGTATTATGCCCCCCCCCCCCCCTTGAAGTAATCGGCCTGTGCAACAGCCGCGATGGGAGGGGCCAGCCACATAGGATCAGAGAACGGTCCACCCTCCTCCCCGTCCGAAGGCCCGTTCTCGACTTTCCCCGCCTTGCCGCCGCGTCCGGGCACTCGGTCCGGGCCCGCGAGGGCAAGCCTCAGCCGATAATCATCATTTTAAACTACCTGGCCCTACTGTCACGGACGACTCACGAGGGTGTGGGGGGGTGAGAGTTGCGGGAAAACGTTTGAAGATTCTTCTTCTCTCTCTCTCTCTCTCAGGGTCCATGGCCAGGATCATTTTCAGGCGACACGAAGAATCCAGAGAGGCTGAGAAGGATGGGCGGCGTCCCGACGATGAGTGATTGCGATAAACCCGCTTCGTTTTGAAACAATCATGCGGGATCAAAAGTCTGGATGTCGTGGCTTACGGCGGGCTTGCCCGACCCTGAGGAAGGAAGGGGGCCTGCAGGTGAATATCGGGGCCAGTTTACTCAACTCTTCCCCCCCTTCCCATCCATCGTCGTTATCGCTCTCACTTCCCGGCTGTTGTGTGTCGCACAACGCTACGCAGCTCCCCTTTTGTCGGTTTGTGTCCCAGCCACCCGGGGAGAAGCAATATGGCCGTCGAGTTCTATCCATCTCGCTCTCTCTCGCCTTTACACAACGTTTTGTTGGCTTTGCCCGCCCATCCCACCACGGTGCCGCGGGGTGCCCCCTTTTACCAATCTTCAATGTAATGTACGGCTGCCTACCTGCCTAAGCTAAAGGTAGGGGATGGGCGGGTGCAGACTTCTGGGCGGCAGCTAAGGTAGTGTAGCGTCTATGCATCTTTCCTACCACCTTGGATCATTTTCGAAACCTGGCCCCCGTGCCCCCCTCTCTCTCTCTCTTTCTCTCTCTCTCTCTCTCTCCGTCGTTTGATGGAATTCTCCGGGGCGACGAATCCTCAATCGTACGGGAGGTCCCGATGCGCCGCATGCGGGAACCGGACTCTCATCTCTTTTTGCGCCGTCTGTTTGGGGAAAACAGTCACGGAGATACCTCGATCCGAGAGCGGTTGGTTTGGGGGGTTCGGTCAAGCGCGAAGGAGGGGAGGCACGGAGGTTAGGGAAGTACGGATAAGCGTGGTTTTGCCCTATAAAAAAAAAAGCAAGATGTTGGCTTGAGGCTTATTTTCTTCCTTAGATCCGACAGGATCTGGCTGCGCTCGTGCGGCCTGGACAAACTACCTTGACTAAACCTCGAGTTTGTCCGTCTCCTTCGAGTGCGAGGTTGTCAGAAGGGTGGGAGGAGGGAGTTGACGGTGTACGTGGTAGGGCACGGGTTGATGGAAGAAAAGAGATGACGGCGCGCAACGCCTCAAACGACGGGGAGGAACAGGTTTCTTGGTGAGATTTACCTGCTTTACTACCCTTGCACAACAAAAGTCGAAACGAGACGGTTGCTAATAATGGATTGTTTCGAACGGGTTCGAGAGATTGCGCGCCCCAAGTTTTTCTGTGATCGGAATTGGAGGGCGACGACAAGGAAGAATCGGCGACTTTTGGCGAGGCGTGTAACAATCGCTCGAGCGAGGGTGCCCAGATCTTGGTGTACCTACCTTGCCTAGAGATGGTAAGGGGAAACGTAAGTTGGAGCTGAGGTTCGAGGCTGAAGCTGAGGTTTGTCCGGTGATGTAGGGGGGAGATCGGGAGGTCGGGACCCGGCGGGTTTGGCTCATGGGGGAGGGAGGAGGATTCGACTTTCACGGCGAGCCCGTGGCGACAGGGCTTGTTCCTCTTTCCCCTTCAACGGTCGGGTTCAATTTGGGTGAGAGCTAAACGTGGTCCAGAGGTTTCGATGCCGTGAGGCTGCTTACTGGTTCTGGGGGTGTGATCATGATGATCTTTTGGGAAAAGGCGTCTGCGGCGGGTGTATTGTGCGGAGAGGCGACGGCGGCGGCGACGGTCTGGAGGTCCATTGTGTAGCGGTGTCCGGGGAGGAGGGCTGGATCTCTCCTGTACGACCTGAAAACAGCTTTCTAGTGTTCGGATCGTGAGAGGAGGCGAGAACCCTCGGGCCGCGAGACGTCATCTGCCCCCCCCGCCCATTGTCGGGGGTATGCTTTTGCATATCCCTTCTTCTTTTTGCTATATATGTGTTTCCCGCGCGGGAAAAAGATCTCTTAGCCAAGTAAGGGAAAGGAGGGGTGGGTGGCCAGGCGATGGGCACGCGTGGGAAATGTCTCTGTTGCAAGCAGACAGGATGACGAGGACTCTCTGGACGATAACGGAAATGCATCGTAGCTTGAGCGCGGCTGAAAAGGTCTAGTACGCCTGGAACGGTAACCCTCCCAACGTGAACGAGGAGCGGGGATTTGCGCCCCGTGGGTGGATTGTGCGAATGGTTTGATGCTGGTGACTCACTGAAAGGGAGATGGAAATGTCTATCTATGGTCTCGCCCACGTTTGATGAGTGTGATGGCTTTGCTTTCCCTCATATGAATTATCAGACCACGCTTTTGTGCGGACGCCATGAGGTTATCTAGAAAGGTACCGACTTCCGCAAACGGATGACCTTTGAGGGGAAGAGGGTGAGATGAGTCGAGAAGACCGAGCTGCTGGGACGAAAGGTGGCGGGATTCATGTCGCCATGGCGGGCGAGGAGGAAGGCATTCCATTCGCTTTGATTGCTGACCATGTGGCATCATTGAGATGAATGCAATGGAGGAGAAAAGGTGTAATAGAGTGGTGATGGGACGTCGTAGACACGGAGCCGGTAATGGTTGCGGAGTTTCGGATTGGTTGGGCGAACCGACCGTCTGACGGCCGTGGTGTGGGGCCGCAGCTGGCGGACTTTTGTGCTGACGCGGAGCGGAGTTTGACGCTGCTCCGCAACTTCATCCCAAATTCCCACCGGCTCGAACGGGTCGAACACCATTCGCTTCCTTTCTGACTAAACCTGGCAGTCTTGCAGATTGAGACCGAATCGCTTTACTGGTTCAGCGGACACTCTGCCAACGCAACCCCCCCCCCCCCCCCCCCCCCCCGCGAGGATCAAACCGCGTAAGCTGACTGCCTTGGATCCTTTTCTGAAAGGCACGGGGAAACAGAGAGAGATACGAGAGGATTACCCATCGGTCGTTGTTTGAGAAATCGTGATATCGCATCTTTTCCACTCTTACCTCTTTTTCTCTTCTCCCTATTCCGCTCTTTTTCTTCCCCATGGTCAATCGGATCCAGCTGGCCGTGCCGACCCATCTATTATCCGCCGCCGCCACTCCTCTTGCTTCTTCCCTTTCTCTCCACCGTCCAAGACCCGACGCTGCCGTAGCCGCTACCGCCGCAGAAGCAGCAGCAGCAGGGCATCAGACCCAGCAAGCGCAGCCGCAACAGCAGGAGCAACAACACCAACACCAGCACAGAAAGAGGAGAGAAATGTCCGCAGACGGTCTGAAAGCGATGAGTGATCTGGCGGACGCGGCGGACAAGTCCCGCCAGAAGAGCTGCAACGCCTGCGTACGGAGCAAGCGCCGCTGCGACAAGCAGACCCCGCGCTGCACGCGCTGTAACGAAAAGAACTTTTCGTGTGTGTACCAGAACCTACCGCCCGCCTCTGCCAATGGAAGCGGTGGTGGTAGTGGTGGTGGTGGTGGTTGTATTGGTGTTGGAAGCCTCGGCGGCCGGGGCGACTCCCCTCCCTCCGCCGGGGGTATGATCAGTAACCCAGACGACACCCTCCAGGCCATGGACATTGAAGAGGACTGCGGCAACATCAACGATGACCTTCCTCCCTTTGACTTTAACACTCTGACCGATCACCATCTCCTTCACCAACATCAACATCAACAACATCATCAGCCCCAACTCCAGCAGCAGCTCACACCCGCGTCGTCATCATCGTACATTGACGGCGGTCTCCCGACGATAGTGATGACGGAGGACATCCACAATAGCGGGAGTAGCATCGACAACGCCATGTCGGTGCCGTCGACGTCGTCGCTGAACCTCGACTTGAATGCCGCCAACGCGCCCTTTGACTATAACTCGGTCATGGATTTCCTCAATGCAGACCCGACGGCCGGCGGCGAGCTGCAGCTCTGGGAAACGCCGTTAACGCCTGTTATACAGAAGACTATGCTGCCCGATATCAACCAGCTGAACCCGTGTGACTGGGACAATGAGATGGGGGAAGTGTGTGTAAGTTATGAATCTCTTCTCTTTTATTGCGGTTCTCATATCTCATAAACCTCCACTGCTCTTCACGTCCCCCTGATCACGTTCTTTCCATGCCCCATTTTCCGTCAGAGTCGCACGTATCTTTTCCCTTCGCCCCCCCCCATCTAGCCCTCCTCATTGGCAACCCGACCTCGCGTATACCCACGGGAATGGGACACATGTACTCACGCCGACCTCACAGGGCGGCTTCCAACCATGGCAAATCCACGAGCCAAACTCCCGCATCGGCCACCTCGTCAACCTCGTCAAGAACATGCACGTCGTCTTCGCCCAGACCAAGCAGGCGCCCTTCCTCCACCGGCACCTCTACCGCGGCGTCCGCGAGACGCCCAGGCCCCTGATGGCGGCCTACACCGCCATCTCGGCGTACGCGGGCATGACGGAGTCCAACAAGGACTGGGCGATGCGCGCCGTCTGCGAGGGCGCCAACGAGATCCTCAAGAGTGGTGGTGGTAACGGCACAGGAAACGCCAATGACTCATCAACGACATCTACGACAGCTGGAAGCAACATCACGGGCCACGAGAAGCTCGCGAGGGCGCAGGCGCTGTTTTTTATCCAGACGGTGCGGTGCTTCGATGGCGACGTGACGTTGCGGGCGCAGGCGGAGCGGGACATGGGTGTCTTTGAGAAGTGGTTGAAGGACCTCGAGGGGTTGAGGGATAACTTTGACGAGGTGCATCTGCTGGACGACGACGCGTTGCGCGGGAGGCCGCCGCGATCCTGGGAGGTGTGGGTTTTTAACGAGTGTGTGAGGCGGACTGTGTTGATGGGGTACATCTTTACGAGCATGTATCAGATGCTCAAGAGTGCGGGTGATTTTGGTAAGGCTCCTCCTTTTCTCTCCCCCCCCCCCCTTTCGTGCCCCCTGCCTAGTCTAGAGCTGACTATTTTGTGTGATTTCAGATCCCGATATCGCGCCTTGGTTGATCCCGCACCGCTGGACTTTCTCGAGGCACCTCTGGGACGCCCAGTCTTCGCCGGCCTTCTTCTCTGCGTGGCGCGAGAAGCCCATGTTTTTGGTCAATAGTTTCTTCGTGCAGAGTGTCGCCAAGATGGCGAGACCGGCGGATGTGGATGATTTTGCGAGGATGTTCCTCACCATGTGAGTTACTGTCCCTCTTACATTTCGGAACGCTCTCCCCCCTTTCAGTCCAAGGCAAGACGGAGCAAATGTGCCAGGTTGAAGGAACATTATGAGGTTATGGTTGGAGGCTAATCTGCTCGGTGATGATAGGACTGTTGGTGTCGAGGAGATGAAGCATTTCATGCTCGAGGTGTAAGACATGTTGGGTTAGCTCAAGGGGGTTTGATCAGGTTATGGCTGCTTATGATGCTGGTTGTGTCTCTAAACTTTGCGTCTCTCTTTGCATGACGGAGGAGCTTCAGAAATTTATCACTGCAGCGCCTTTTGGGAAAAGTGGATGGGCTTTACCTCGCGGGTTATCTTGAGGACATGGGAGTTTAGGGGGTCTGGGTACAACGATTTGTTTGCCGCTGTCTGGTACTGTCTTAGGGGGCGATGGTGCATTTCTCACTTTCGGTTTCATGAGATGGAGACAATCACCATATTGTCATGATACTGGGCAAGGGCACAAACTTGGATAGTTGATTTAATGATGACATGATCACTACTCTAAATTATCGAAGTAATCTGTCTTTGGCTAATGTCCTCATTGCATTGGGCATTCTCGAGACTAGGCGGCAAGACTTGCAGAGCTGAGCCATCATCAGCGCCCGGCGGCTACATCAGAGGTATACTTACTGCAGCCGTCTGTCCCAAGCATCTCGGCGAACAATTCCGGCCGCGACGGGTCTCACAGCCAAAGAATTCTGGCCCTCGAGAGGACGACGATCGGCGCCATATCTTTTCTGTTGCTGCATAGTTTCTTCAGTCGCGTTGTTGGTCGGACAGGAACGATGCGAGAACGTGATGCCCATCTCCTTCGGCCGCTAGGGCCCTCGAGGGGATTGGGGGCGTGGTTTACCTGCAAGATATAGACAAAGTCGTTTCGTCAGTGGGGGGTCAGTCAGTAAAGCAGGAAGATTCGAGAGTAAGAAACCACCGTAAGTGAATTTTTTTATTTAACCTGCGCTGTAACCCCTACGACCCCTCTTCTTCTCCTTGCCGCCCGCTCTCGAGAGCAGCTCATCCGGGCTTCCTGTTGAAGTTTTCTTTATGGCGTGGAACGGGCCCCGCGAGCTTTAAAGGCGTCCGATGCGTTTGTATGTTTTTCGCCATTTGAAGCAGAGTCTGAGGATAGGTGCTCGCGGGTTATACAGCCGCCCGATCGCGGCAGAGTATCTTGGTGTAGAAAGCCATTCGGGATCAGTGTTTTTCTTTCGTCAGGACCGGAGTCACATGGATAGTGTGACCTGATACAGTTGGCAGAGCCTGGATGACCGAGTCCCTAGTCAGGTGGAGGACAGGTTGAGAGGCTTGGCCATGACTATGACAGCGGCTGAGATGGAGGTAATTCTTTAGAATGGTATGAGATGAGGATTGATTTGGGTTTTAGAATGGGTTTGAAGCCTGACTTGAAAATGGTACCAAAATGCGCAAAGGTTTGAGCCGCGGTGCTATTTGAGTGACATACTCATCAAAAATGGTCGTGGCTTTTGGAACTATAAGATGGCAAGTTGTCAACAACCATCATAGTATATTTCAATGTTAAAGTCATCGAGCTGCTTCAAGTAACGAATCCGGCGCCCACGTCGTTCTCTTCCGGTGTTTACCTCTTTGATTGGAAGTGGGAACTCTCGGCAGAGGTGTAGAACGGACGCTGAAGGGCCACTCGGTAACTTGGCCATGCCCTCCGAGGTCGAAAGACTTGGACTCGAAGTGAGATGGCTCGCTGACTTAGGAGACATGGAAGTAGCGAGCAGTATCATATTATATGCAAGAGGTTGTGGCTGGGGTTTAGTATCGGGGTCCGACCCCCGAGGCTATGAACTCTCCTTGATCAATCATGCTGAGCACCGCAGGACGGGCTGTTCCATGATCAACAAAACTTCCAGACATTTTTAAGGAGATAATTTGAGCTCGTCTACTTCGACTGTGTGCTACTGCCAACGGCCGGAAGGTACCTGTAGAATTATACCATGCCGTTATTGATGTTCTCCCGCCATAATGAGCGAAATTAACAATTTTCATAGTCGCAGTTAGTATGGTAGTAATTAACTAGGTATAATATGACCGTGAAAGTGATTAGTGGCGTGAGCGCCTGTCGGCTGGTGGTAGTGGTATATTAAAGATAGCCAAACCGTATGGTCAATATAGCCGTACTTGATACCTTCTATGCCGTACCATTGTTCACTAAACTGCCTTTGATGCCGATACAGTCGCCTCTACCTTATTTGAACTTGCAGCCAGGAACTTTGCAAGCCGAACCCCTCAAGCGGTGAAGCCCCAACGTAAGGAAGAATACCGGAAAAGCGGAAAAGGGTTACGTTGCGTACATAGCGTTCGGAAGACTTTGCCAAGAGTGTCAGGCGCGCTGACGGATAAAGGTGGCAGATATAATCATCATCACAATCATTCATCGTCGGAACGTTTCCCCAGTGAAATGTTTGAAGGGGGGAGGCTACGCTGGTGGGCATGACATTGTTCTTAGTCGTGCTTCGTGAGGAGAGACCGGCGCATCTTCAACATGTTACTTTAGTAATGAAGCAGGTTACCTTGGGCATCACTGGAAAAATTGGAAAAAAAAACGAAAAGAAAAAAAAAAACCGTCTATTATTCTTTCTCTTTCTGGCCCGAGATCTTGATCAATACTCATAGCTAGCTCGCCCCAAAAGGGGGAAAGAGCTGTTTATAGACATCAACCGGAGAGGAAGAGCGAGACAAGCGTCTTCCCAGATCCCCTCGAAAGTGACCCGAATTCCCCATGCCGTAGCTTGAACGCCGAAAACTCCCAAATCCCTAAGTCCGCATCTTGGTCTTTTGTTTTGCCATTGCGCTCTCTCTCTCTCTCGAACGAAAAAAAAAAAAAGTCGAGGTGTGAGGACTGACTGCCAGGCTTCCCTTGGTCGCCCTTTCAAATGCTCGTCGAATCCCCCCCTTTTCCATACCTAGGCATGCTGGAGAAAAGAAATGTAGTAGAAACCCAACTTCTGTATCCAGAAAAAACCCTCTCTTGATTCTGCCCGGTGTTTTGAGACCATGGCTCTATCGTTGATGCTTGATTCTCGTTTGGGGTACGCAGTATTTTGACCGTGGTCGTGGAGAAGTGAATTGTTAAAAGAGCGGAGAGAAGACAGAGTGAAAATCCAAATTCGAGGGTCGAGGCGTCACCCTTCCTTGACGAGCTCTCGTATTTTACACCATGCACAAACACAACGCTTTCTTTCTGAGTGGTTTGTCGTGGCTTGTGTATTGTTTAGTGACCGCTTGCGCTTACGCCTGGTAGATTGCCGAGATGTCCAAGTAGAGCAAAACGGCTGGCGATGGCGCCTGGGTTCGATAGTAAAGGTCATGGTTATCGCCGTAGCTTGCCGGGTGTAGTACGCTTTCCTGCATTTTTGGGTCGGCGAGGCTGTATCGTGATGGTGAAATGCCGTATGAATGGCTCGAGCACCTTTCACGTCGTTCCTTCGAGCTGATTGCGACAGCAGCAAATCATTGCAGCAGATCCTTGACGTTTTCTTTCACGTTGAGCGCCCACTTCAGCTTCGCCAACGTCGACCTCGTCTCCTCGAGCAACCTCTCCTGCTCGGCGTCCCGCCCGGCGACGCCAGCCTTGATATCCTTGAGCAAGAACTCCTGCTGCGCCTTGTACTCGTCAAACTTGTTTTGAATATCCTCCTTTTGCCGCCTCAGCTCCTTGATGTTGCCGTCCTGCTGATCGCACAGGTCCCGCAGCGCCGCAATCTTTTCGTCGTCGCGCCGCCGCTCCTCGACGACGCCCGCGATCTCGGACCGCAGCTTCAGGTGCGCGCGCTGCACCTCGTCGCCCTGGTCCTTCCAGTGCGAGCTGATGGCGTTGTACCGGCCCTCCATGAGCGCGGCGTGGGTGTCTGCGTCCTCGACCTGCTTCGTCGAGCTGGCGCGCATCTTTTCCATCTCGGAGCGCCACAGGTGTTCCTTTTCTTTGGCGTCTGCCGTGCGCTTCTTTTCTAGTTCCACGTTGGCGTGGAGGGTCTCGACCTGGCGTTCCTTGCGGCTGAGGAGCGTCTTGGTGACGCTCGCTTCGAGGAGGCGGCTCTCGTAGTCGCTGATGATGCGCTCCATCTTGTCCTCGACCAGCTTGGCGGCCTGCTTGGCCTCCTCAGCTCGTAACCGTTCGATCTGGATGTCACGCTTCAAGGATTCGTTGTCGCTGACGAGCTTGTTGATGACTCGTCCCGTCTTTCCCAGACCCGCCTTGCCAATGGTTGAGTCCCAGCCTGGGCCTTGCCCTTCGGGTGCGGGGACGGCGTTCTCATCGTCAACGGGCGGCGTCTCTTCCCTCCTTGCTGAGTCTAATTTGATGGTGTTGTCGTTGCCGCCGTGAGGCCAGTCGTGTTTTAACTTGACGCCTGGCGTTCTTTCTTGGTGATTCGAAGCCATGCTGACTGCGCTGGCGTTGCTGTTTACGGAACTGGAGAATGCGGAAGTGTGTGAGGGTGCGTCGGAGCTCGTGTCGCTCGCGGCTTCGAAGCTGGGTACTGTTCGGATGGTCTGGACCATCTTAGGGGCGCCTCGGGGAGAAGAGGAGGGGCTCGGCGTCGACTGATGGTTTCCGTCGATGCGCGTGTTCAAGCTACTGTTGCGTACGTTACGAGAGAAGTAAGAGGGGGAGGTGGTGGTGGGAGGAGCGAGTGTGCGGCGACTGCTCGAAGGACCATGTAGCGAGGGCGTCGTCGTCGGGGAAGAAGACGTTTTGGCGGAGTTTGTTGATGCAGAGGTGTCGAGGTCTTGGGGAGGTTCAAGGTCAGCACGATGGTCACCTTTCCGTGACTTCCAGGAACGGCAGCGGAGTGGTATGGCGCCAGTGCCAAACTCCTGAAGGGTTAGGTCGTCGGGAGAGGCTAGAGGCAGAAGAGGGCGTGGAGTGGGCGGGTTGTGGATCGGGGCGAGGTTTCAAGCAAAGAGTGCACAAGGACGGGGACCCTTACCGAGAGCAAAGTCTTGTGGAGGAATATCAAAGTCGGGTACGGATACCTGGGGAGGGTTGGATGGTAGTCGTTGTTTGTCGTGTTTATTGGGCTTTTGCAGTCGACTAGGCATGTCTCTGGCTCATGTTCTTCAGTCCGTGTAGGTTGATTGGGGATGTGGTCCAGGTAGGCTGGTCGGCAGGCTGGT